CGACGTTGTCGCAGACGCTGTCTGTTGAGTATGAGTCCAGAACAAGGAGAGACGATGATTAGGACCCGCGCGGCACGGCAAATGGAATCGACAAGCCATCGAGATGGAACAGCTATAAGAGAAATGCATAAAGCGAGTTATGAAGTAGACTTAACATACCAGCGGTATCCATTTCGCGATAGTCCAGAAGAACAGTGACTCCAGCATGACGTTCAAGAAATCGGCTCAACAACAAAACCACTTTGGAGTGCTCATCGCAATCATCCGGAGTCAGAAGCAAAACAGTCGGCTTTGACTGCAACTCAATCTCTTGTACTCGCACGGGTGAGCGACGCACTCTTCTCCGTAGAAATAAAACGTAGATCATGCCGCAGATGGCTGATACAAAAACAATAGCTGGAAATCGGTTGATCATCGAGACACCAATATGAGGAAAAAAGACTCACAGCCAAGCGCAAATAGAAGTGAAGAGCTAGAATCACGCATTCGACGTAGACTTCGCCAAGACAGGCTAGCTCGATCTTGATCCAATGTAAAATTTAGCATAGTATGAGCACACAAATTACATGCAGACGATGAAGCTGCTGATTCGTCGCAAACAAGCAAGCAGTCGTGGCGAGGGATGTGCGCGTAAGCAACGTAGCTTCCTTTTGCTACATTTCGCCACTGAAGCAGACCATTAAAGGCAAAGTCCATCCAAAATAAAGGTGACGGGATTCTGATGCTTTATGATATCGGGGTCTCCAACTAAGCAATCGCCCAAGTTCCATTGCAATAGATAAATTCAAAGGCGAGAAAACCGCACCAGAAGGTAGAAAGCGGCCACACTGGCTCCGCCCATCAATCCTGGTGGTCTGTAGATAACAAGTCCAGATTTGAGCTTGAAGATATCCAAAATTGTCATAAATGCGGCCTTTCTAATGAAGCCAAAATTGTCATAAAGCGGCCTTTCTTATGATCATCAAATCTGCGAACTTTCTTCTACTCTGAAGCTCTCTGCAGTGTTTAAATACCAACTTTCATGACCGGAGCGCTTGGCCTCTTCTTCTTATGAAGCGGTTTTCTCGCATTGAAACTCATCTAATGGAGCGAAACTTGGGCAATTGCTCAGTAAGGGAGCCGCTTATTGCGGGACCCCGCTATGATATAGCAACGAAACCTCACCACTTTTGATTCGGTTGGTTTGGAGGGCTACACGATAATTTGAAAGCTCATATCGATTAAGTTGCTTGAGTGATTCAGCCAACTCCAA